ACCAGTTATAGAGATAGTTTATTGTTAATGAATAATAATAATCCACAAGCGTACGGTGAGCAAGCACACGATGAAACAGAGTGAGTGAGTGAGTCTGTTAAAAATCCATATATATTTGAGAGTTAATCGGGTGTGGATAGATTATCGATTATCTGCACATTGAAACCAATAGGAAAATAGCTTAAGAGTTAATGTACAGACATACATTCGATCATACACACCGAAATTAACATAGTGAATTGAGTCTGAGTTACAATGACTAGATAAATGATACAGTAGCCAAATGGGCTTGCCACATAAGCTCCCATCCAGAACATTGATGTTTTTATGTACCAAAAAAATTGGATTAACATCTATGTTCGACAAAGAGATAAAGAACGGAACTGTTTTTAAAATGAAAGTACAACTCAATATGATGAGTAAGCGTAAAATTGTAATAAAAGCTTGTGTGTTGAAACGTTTCATATCATGTATATACAGGTGTATATTTAACATTAATGAATTGTATAAAGTTAAAATGTAAGCATAATGATGATCCGTGGGGCCAATAAAAAAATCGTAATCAAAATAAAGTAGGATTTTTATGTGTTATAAGAGTAGTCTCAGGATTTGGTCTAGATAAATATGGTGGTTGCTACATACCTATCTGGCCAATGTACTCTTCTTCCTGATCTTGTTGTAGTTTGTGCTGCTGCTGAACTTTGATTTGAAGTGTTGCTTATTGCAGATAGTTTGAATGGTGCTTGCTCTGCTGCAGGTTTAGACGGTTTTACAGTTGTCTGTTTTTCCTCAAAAATATTTCGTCTCAAACCGAAAGGTAAAAAAGGGCGAGTTTTACCTGTTGAGGTATCACAAGTTAAGGTGTCCTTGTTGTTTATGGGGATGTTTTGGAATAATAATTTCGTTTCCTTAGACTGCAAAAGCTTTTGTAGCTCCGTATCGAGCTTTTGATGCTTTGCCATTTCTTGATAGTCTATATCAGGGATCGAGAAGGTATTGATATTTAATCTCGATAGTGCATCTGCTGCCTCATTTGCATTGCCTTTAATATAGCGTATATCAGCTGCAAATTGTGAAATGAATTCTAGTTGACGAATTTCGCGCGGACTGTATTTATCATGATTGTGCATCAAGGACTTAGTTAGAGGTTTGTGATCAGTATATATCGTGAAAGAATTGCCTTCTAACATGTAGCGAAAGTGTTTGATGGCTAAGTAGATAGCCAACAGTTCTCTACCGAATGTGCCATATTTTGTTTGCGTTTAGCTTTTTTGAGAAAAATACAAGGGGTTGCCATTGTTCAGTGACACGTTGCTGAAGTACAGCACCTACTGCTACGTTAGAAGCGTCGGTCATTATTGCTAAAGGTGCATCAACCTTTCGTCGTGCGAGTAATGCCTCTGTGCTTAAAGCGCTTTTCAACTGATCAAATGCTTGAATTGCTTGCGGTGTCATTGCTAATGATTTAGCTCGTCCCCTTAATAAATCAGTTAGTGGTTTTGCTAAGTCTGCACATTTAGGGATAAAACGTCTGTAAAAGTTGATCATCCCAAGGAAACGTCGTAGTTTCTTGAATGAATCAGGCAAAGGATAATTTTTGATAGCTTGTGTTTCCTCAGGAACTGGTTTAATGCCTTGCTTATCAAGTACGTGACCTAAAAAGGTGAGGGATTGTTTTCCGAACTCACATTTGTCAGGATTGACTGCTAACCCATACTCGTTTAGCTTCTCAAAAAGCATTTTCAGATGAGTTAGATGTTCATTTTCATCTTTGCTTGCTATAAGTAGGTCATCTATGTAAGCATACACAAACGGTAAGCCCCGTACCACTTGGTCAATAAAACGCTGGAAACTTTGTGCAGCATTCCTTAATCCGAAAGGCATACGGACGAATTCGTATAGTCCAAAGGGGGTAGTAATGGCTGTTTTAGGAACATCGTCCGGATAAATTGGAATGTGATGGTAAGCACGGACGAGATCAATTTTTGAAAAAATCGACACGTCAGATAGGCTATGAGTGAAGTCATGCAGATGTGGGAGAGGATATCTATCTGGTATGGTCCGGCTGTTGAGAGCTCTATAGTCACCGCACGGTCTAACTTCGGAAGAGTTTTTCTTAGGTACCATATGGAGCGGTGATGCCCACGGACTATCGGAGGGGCGTATGATGCCCAACTCAATCATTTTGTTGAATTCGTTCTTTGCGATAGCCAGACGAGAGGGATCAAGGCGTCTTGGACGTGCGAACACTGGTGGACCCTCTGTCTTTATGTGGTGTACGACGGTATGCGTCGGTTTGTCGTGTTTGAAACTCGGTCGTAATAAATCTGGAAACTGATTATGTAAATTGACGTATTTGTCGTTCTCATGATGAGGTTTAACTAATAAATGTATGGAAGTCTCATTTGATATAATTCCTCTAATTTCCTTACTCTGTTCGGCAAGGACAAGTTTCCTATTTCTGACATCTACCAGTATTTTGTGGAATTGCAGAAAATCAATGCCGATTATAGGAACGAGGACGTCCGCTATGATGAAACTCCAGGAAAAATTAGATTTAGGACCGAAATTTAATTGCAACCGCCTTTTGCCGTACGTCTTGATGTCAGACCTGTTTGCAGCTTGTAGTTTTAGTTTGGGGTCAGGTGTGTTTTTCTCGAGTGCAGTAGGTGGTACTACACTAACCTCTGCCCCAGTGTCGACTAAAAACTGTGTGCCGGTTCTTTTGTCTGTAACATATAATAGACGACTGTCTTGAAAGTTGTGGTCAGTGAGTGCAGTCGTCATTAACCTACGGTCTTGACGTTCCTTTTTCTGTGTGCTTGCAAAGTTACAAGGCGGAGCACATTTTCTAGCTTGTTTGCCATATGTTCTATGGTACCAACAAATGTTGTGTCTAGTAGTGCTTGGACTACGTCGTCTACGGCTTGTGGATGTTCCTCTACGCTTGCTGTGGGAGGCATTCAATAATTGGATCTGAGCTATCTGTTTCGTAAGGGTATCAACTGATCGTCGTAACTCGGCGATCTCGTCAGCTGAGCTTGATTGGATTTGAGATGCAAGGTGAGTCTTGGACCGTTCGTAAATTCTGTCGGCTATGTCTGCTAGTCTATCAAAATCAACGTCTTCGTCTCCAATTGCTAGTATCTGTTGAATGTTTTGAGGGAGACGTCTGAGCCACAATTGATATAGTAGACGTTTGTCTACTGTACGATTTCCTAATAAGTTTGTCATGTGGCGTTTTAACTGTGACGGTGTATTGTCACCTAGCTCCACGTTGGCTAAAAGTTGATCAATTGCCTGTTGGTCGGTGAGAGATGTGACACGAATGACCTCTCTTTTTAGACAATCGAATGGTGAGTCAGGATCCGGCTTAAAAATAACATCCGGCACTTGTTCAATGACGTCATCTGGCAGCAGTGAATTTGCATAACTAAATTTCGTACTCTGGTTTGTGATTTTGTTTGCTACAAAAAAGCTTTCTAAACGAGCAAACCAGAGTTCAGCCTTTCGTGGATTAAAGATGGGTAAAGGTACAGAGATGGCACCCACGGAAATAGATTTAGATGAAAGGCTTAACGAATTATCAAGTGCCATGATACGAAGAAGCAATAGTAATAGTAAGCCGAGGATTGTAATATGCAATATGAAGAGAAATCAAAAATAACAACAAAAAATATATATAAGACTCACCAAAAAGAAAAATTGCCACTTTGGGTATATGTATGAGAATATACAGTAATAATTCCAAAGGGAAAATATTATGAGTGAATTTATTATGACTGTCAATGGATTGTTATTAATTATAATAATAATTCCAATATGAAGTTCTTTATGATACTCTTGAGGAGAATGCAGCAGACTTTGGAGGAAAATGGTGCGCGTTCTAAAGGCGGGTCACCAATATGTTGTGGATAATATCCTCAATATCTGACTCCAAATAATAATATCCCGTAACTGAGTATTTTAGGTAGGCTTAATCTCCTAGTTGAATTGCGAATTTACTCGAGATTATTAAAAAGCCTGAACACCAGTTATAGAGATAGTTTATTGTTAATGAATAATAATAATCCACAAGCGTACGGTGAGCAAGCACACGATGAAACAGAGTGAGTGAGTGAGTCTGTTAAAAATCCATATATATTTGAGAGTTAATCGGGTGTGGATAGATTATCGATTATCTGCACATTGAAACCAATAGGAAAATAGCTTAAGAGTTAATGTACAGACATACATTCGATCATACACACCGAAATTAACATAGTGAATTGAGTCTGAGTTACAATGACTAGATAAATGATACAGTAGCCAAATGGGCTTGCCACAGTCTATAAGCCTATGGGCTTTACGATGGACATTTGCGAAATTTGATACTACCATGTTTACCACAATATACACAACGTTAGTGAGAAATAAGCTTAAAAACTGCGTTCGGGCTGCAAGTCTATGTTTAAAATGTGACTAGGACATCCTAGAAGGAGTATAGAGAGCAACTACACTTGCAATTCCAGAACTCCGGGCATTAGGATACAAACAGCGATTTGCACAGCTAGACGTCTATGCTCTGTCCTGTCGCAGATTAAGAGATAATCTTATCTTGGTGCACAGAATACTAAGAAACGATTTTAAATCTAGTATATCCTCTCGTTTCATTTCCGTTAGATCGGGGCAACTCAGAGTAAATATCAGGCGAGTAGAAAAGCCAAGAACGAACAAAATACCCATGACATACAGTCATCTATTCTCGGAACTAGTTACTCAGGCAGTGGTATCTGCACCTTAAATTGACTCATTCAAGAGAAGACTAGACATTCATAGAAGCATACTGTAAAATTAATAACATAAACCGCAGGCCTTCCGTACTTACTATACGATTCTGAACCAAGCACACTCGCTCAACAAGACATTCAAATCCACATGAAACTATGATAATGACTGAACCGTTGTTTAGAAAATGAGCACAAAGAAATTGATTGGTTTATACAAGCCAGTGACAAATATATTGGATATTGCATAAGCGCGCAAAATACGCTTGATACGTCGGGCGCAATTTCCGATTGTAAGTGATCTTGGTGATGTATTTAGGCTATCGTTTGCACTGATTTTTACCTGTTTGTGACCTTTTAAAGTGTATGTTTTTAATCGAATAATTGTTTTCTTTGATCTTCATCTGTATGCACAATTGCAACATGAGCTGATATTTCACGTTTTACTTTTTTCACTTGTCACCTATTTTAAGAGCCTTACATTTCACTCTCAAAGTTTGAGTTAATATTATTTTAATAGGGAAAGGCTTGATTTTATACATCCGTTTTAGTGTATTCCCTGACACATTTCATAACATAACTCCAGTTTTCCGTGGAAGAATTTTCGGTGAGAATAATTTATGGACGATCTTTTAGCTAAGCTAGACTGACTGAGAGTGTCCACCTTATGTTTATCACCGAATGAAGGTTCTTAACCTGTGTGAGAAATTAAAATTATGTTTTAAGGTTGATGATTAAGGTTTAGAATTAGATTTTGGGTTTTCATGACGAACTGACACCAGTTATGATGCCAAAACTATTTAACGAAATTAGATGAGTAAATTTTGCGCCAGTATCCGAGGCCTATTACTTTATACCGTATTGCTCCCCCATAAGTTATAGTCTCGTAACTCTCTAACCATATATTATGTTAGTTAACCTATTTTCACTACATTTCTAACATTTCTGTTGCACCGGTAAATGTTAGCGAGACAAATTTTGGTTTTTCAAAGTTATTTATCGCACCTTATGTTTTGATTTACTTTGTTATGTCTTAGAAGGCTTTCAAACGTTTGCGTTGTTTTGTGCCAGCTTTGCATCAGGCCATGACATTTGTTAAATGCATGAAAATGACCAAAGCTTTGTTTATTCGTTCAAATGCGATATCTACTTTTGTTTTCAATTTAGTATTTTCTCAGGACATCAAAGTTCGAAATAATACGTTTTCGGTTTGATGAAACTTGAGTGGTGAATGATGCTCTTTACTCAATACACTAGAAGACTGTAATCAATTATGTATAAAGTACTTGAAGAAAAAAAATAGTTATTTGGCGAGACATAGATTTGTTTTTAATTAGTATTCAAACTCTGTGCGTATATATTGAAGTTTAGATTTCGGTGACCACTGAACCATCTGACCTCAATCACTTCTTGTGATTTCTGGTGCTATGAACTTTTATTAGAGTACTAGTACTAATACTACACTCATGGTTTCTTACTTTTTCCGAGCAACAGAAACATATTCCTTTTTTCCACCTATTTTGACCGCATATAAGTTTGCCATTCTGAAACTAATCGAGGGACTTTTTCTGACTAGGATTGTTGTAATAACAGTACATAATTGTTCAGGGTTTTCAAGTGAGAGTTAAGCGGAAAGAAATGACTAAGAACTCATGTCATGATTTCACATACACCTTATGTACAAATGTTATCGAACAATAAGTACAAAAACAAACCTAAGTTTTAGATCTATTAGTTTTTCCCCATTTATTACAGTATGGTCCTGATTATTTTGAAAATGACCTGTTTTATCCATATCTAGCACTAGTTATTTAAGTATGATCAGTTCGATATTTACTTCGAATAAATTTATTTAAATTACACATAACACGTAGTTTTCCTAATTAACCTTCGACTTTTTACGTAAGTCTTTACCCTTGGTCGGTTCTTAAATCACATTTTGCTGGCATTTTTATACTACTTGGTGTTTGTTAGTAGTTTGGGAATTTCAACTTAAGACAGTTTTTACGGCCACTTAACAGCCATTGAGTGATGTCTACTTCTGATTTCGTTCAAACTACTGTTTTGCATTTGTAGGTATCATTACCAAGGTTTGATTTGATAATTTCGAATAAATTGAGCATTGAGTAGGTTGTTATAAATAAATAATATATTTGTAATATCCCAATGAGTAGAAAATTAGATTTTCTGACGTTTCGTGACTTAGTGTAAGTCACTGCATCTTTTGTAAACCACTCAAAACCAGTGTAAGAAGTATTCTTAATGAGGCTGGCTTTCGTTTTGTTTGTGAATGTATTGATAATATCTTCACTCTCCAACAAATGTTAGAATACGGCCGTACATAATTCAGACCAGCCATCTCTGCTTCTTAATATAATAATCATCTTCAATCCCTTGATTACGTCTGTGCTCTGGGATTCCCTGTTGAAGAAGTATATTAGCATCTACAAGGTTATTTTCTGTAAAAACGGGCAATGTCTGAGCCTACACAGTGTCAGTGAAAATAGTTTGTTCTATGCTTGCGAAACAGCGTCTCCGAGTTGATAATGTTCAACAACTCCGTATCCGATCATCATTCCAAAGAAATGCTGATGTTCAGTCCCAACACTATTGGTAATATGGTGATTCGACAGTGTATGTTTGGGCACAGTGACGACAACTCACTTGGTGTCATCATCTTGAAGTACCGGCTTTGGTGGTTTGGACATGTTATGCAAATGTCATTGCAACCACTTTCATATCGTGCACTTTTTTGTCTACAGATATGTAGGAAGGCTGTGTATTACTTGTATCTGTCAGTACATCACGATCCCTTAGTTGAGGTTCTAGAGATATTGGAACTTTGTTGTTTAAGACATTGACAGAATAGAATTCAGTGGAAGTCTTGCTATAATTTCTTTGTACATTCTTTATAAAAGCGAGATGAACCTCTTTTAATTAATTGACTCTGGTTATATTTTTAAGAAAATGAATTATTTCTACCACTATGCAATACTTTAGTTAGCGATGGAGTAGGTGGATCCATTCTTTGTCTTCCGAATTCTAGGCCTTTGAATTACTCATAACTTTTTTGTGTTTACGTTTCGCTAATTCGTATTTTCTTGAATCGTATCTTTGATGCCTAATCTTTTCGATCACCACTGATACTGTTACTACTTCTTCTATTCTGGGATTTGGTCTGACAATTCCATCTACGACATCTCTGCTAATAGTGTTGGGGACGATAGATCCCCAAACTCATATTTTAAATTTTATCTTACCGATCATCTTATCGATTAAATGTTAGATATTTTTATTGGGGTCAATTGATGAACTATCGATTAAATGCGCAAATAGGTCAATTAATGGACTCATTGATTAATGTTTAAAAATTTTCTATCGATTGTAAATAATTGTATAAATACGCTTGACTTGTATGCTTGATCTGATCTGCCTGCCTGACTTGTTATCTGCTGTTTGTCTGTAGAATACACTTTCTACACCTTACCCAGACTTTTTGATCGGGTTAGCAGAGTTGGGGACAACGGACCAGAATAGACTATCGAGATTCTGAATCCTTGATCCGATCGATAAGTCACTGTCATATAATCGGCTGTCGCTTTGAGGCATAACAAATAGGTTATGCCAACTTGGATCGATCTACATACGTACCAGGTTCTGCATTATGACTGACTGACTGACTTTCAGTCACTTATTTTCACTCATCTAATTATTTTGGATTATATTGACGCTCCATCTATCTCTTTACAATTTCACTCATTTGTGTAACGTATATTTATCGTGTTGGTCATTTTTATCAATATTTATGTCCAAATAAATAAGTGATTATGGTGACAAAATATGATTTCACAATAGCATGTTAAATTATTGTACTATGCCATCCACCAAGGTAGACGAAGATAATTTAATGTGTAAAGATCTGTAAGAATCGTAGTAATATGAGCAAAAGCAGCCCGACATTTGATAAAGGAACATTGCGTGGAAAACCCATTAAGTAAAAATGGAATCAAGAATGTCCCTTGCTACAAAATCCCCGTTACATTTTATGTCATTGATTAACGATTCCTACTATCCACTAGATTCCAACCAAAAAACAAATGTGGTCTCACAAGTTAAATACTTAGTAACAGTATTGTTCTAATAATTTTGTTTTATCTTATATTGTACTAGACGCAAGGTTAACATATATCGTTATCATACGGGTATCGCGTAGTCGCTGAATCTTTTCGTGGATTCAAATGAGCTTTAAACTTCTTATTTGATCATATTTCTTTGATTTTTATATTTGTACGGTGATTTGAATTAAAAGTATCTAGGGGTATTGTGACTAATAAATTGTACTATTACCTAGCGGATAACGTTTTGTACTAAATTTTCCTGCTGTTCATCTACTTATCTAACTTCACTCTTTTTAGTTACTTACTTTTTCTATCTTATAGTATTTTGCATGACTCACTACTCACTTAGATAATACGATTATGAGAAAATAATTGTTAGAACTATGCCGATGTATAGTGGTTCAGTATGTTTCAATCAATCTGACCACACAGTTCTTAGAATCTTTGTCTTCTCATTGCCTTCTAAATTTATTGAAGAGATGGATTATTTTTAATTCTTGTGTCATTGTTTTATTTGACACCAAGTTTTGTTTCTAGATAGATTGATAGTTTACTTAATATCAACTACATCATATACTTATTCATTATAAGGCTACATCTATATCTTTTCACCCTCAAACTTCTATTTTTAGATTAAATTTCAAAGATGTCATCTGCGCCTATTTGTGATCGTGTTAATACATATGCTAATAAAAGCAAAGTTATACCTGGTTATGAGGGGATACCATACAATTTATGTGTTAACGTTATTGGTTGGGTGGTATGTCGCTCATTTAACTTTTCACCAAAGGCAAATCTAGGTCCTAATGTGCGGATTTACACTATTAAGAAAACTTGCATGGGACTATGGGCGTATGGCTACATTTCAACCTAGGAAAAATAGGTTTGTACAAGATGGTTTCCATTTTATATTATTGTTGCAATTAATAAAATGTCCTACTTCTTTATAACAGTGAATTAACGTTTCTAAATGATATCAATTTATAATAAATACTCTTTTTCCAAATATTTGCTATCTAGTTTGTCGGCGAAATCATTCTAACTTTAATCCGAAAGATAATAAAATATTGACTGGAGAATGTTCTTTACTTAGTGATTGTATTGATAATTCTTCATGTTTCCCTTACCAACAAAATTTCTTTGATTTTGCTTCTATGTAGTTAACTTGTACTGTAGTAATGGTGACTGATTCATAATAAAATTGAACAATTATATATATATATATATACATATATATATATATATATATATATATATATATATATATATATAGGGCGTTTAGAAATTGTTTATCCGTTTCCAAGTTTTTAGACACTCCACATTAGCAGCTCTAGTAAGGTAATTAACAGCATAAGAACTAAGATGAAATGACAGTATCTGTTGTCATGGAAAGTTAACTACAGAAAATAAGGTACCAATGAGACTAATGAGATCAAGGTTTAGAAATGACACTGATCAAAATTTAGAGTAAGATTAAGAATAAATACAAATATCCCACTGTGGCTTATTTTAACCCTATAGTTTTTGACCATACATTACAATGGTCATTGTAATCTCAACTAGTAAGTTCATACTATCCACTCACACATGGTTCAGACTAGTAATCAATAAAAAAATTTAAACTTGAGGAGTATCACTGCCATTCGTTGTTATTTTGTTTTTAAAACGTCTCTCACTGATGTCAGTTTGTAGTCAGTCATTATTAACCTAAAAACGCATAAATTTACGTTAGTCCACATTAATACGATTGGATGAAACTGGCACGACGAATATCAAAGGAATCGGGACAATCTAATAACGATGCTGATGAGAAAGACCAGACATTGAGAATATGGTTCAAGAGGACAATGAAAGTGTATGTATGATGAATTACAGTAACTGAAGATCTACAGTAAGATAAAGAGTTAATCCGTTTACTACGATTGTTCTGACCCATATCACACAAAGGGTCTTACCATCAATTGTGGTTATCGCACGAGCCTTAACTAGGTAATGTGTATTTACTAACATGACAGACCAACAGTCAATGACTTCATAGGCTGTTTTTTGGTTTAGCCACTTCCAGGTTCTTTCAACTCACTTCTACATTATCTAACATCCCCCATTTAGGTAGGCGGCGATCAGACATACGTGATACACGTCTTAGCCACTTCAGTTGACGATTCACAGCCGTATCAATTGATCTGTCATATTTACCTAGTATCCTATACCTAACCTCAATATTGATAACTCGGTCGTTCCACACGACGTGACCAATAGTTCTAAGGCACTGATTACCGAAACCCATAGCTTACGTATGCGTATGCTTTCAACTTTCGTAGACTATATTTCACTCAATACATACTAGTAGAAAATCACTTTTAAATCTAAAAAAACAACTTTCCATTCAATCTGCCTTATTCATTTTATTTTTCATTTTAGGTGGACTATATTTTCAGAAATAAATGATGAAAATGTCAGTACTGACAATGCTTCCATTGATAGTGTAGAACAAACTCCATCTACTAATGATCCTGTAAGCTCTTGTGTTCTAATTACTGTCAAACGTTACTTATTAAGTACAGAATTGTTTTTCACACTTTTTTACTACTTAGTATTCATTTCTTTCTATCTTTCTTTGTAGGGTTATTTTTCATGGATTGTTAGTTATTTCAAGTTAACGTAAGTTACTTAACAAATTTTTTGTGCATTCGCAAATATAAATATTGATTCTTTCAATGGTTTTCTTATATATTCTTCTCTAAATATGTTAATTAATGAGATATCGATTGTCATAAGTTGATTTTCATGCCTATAAAATGAGATCATTATTTGTTCACAATGCTTCAGGTTCACTCTTTGCCTTTCCTTAGGTCCTGAGTTCTGAAATCTCTTCATTTTCCTCTTCTGTTTGCATCTTATCTTTTCTACTATTACTGATGCTATTAAGACTTGTACTATTCTTGAATTTGTGTTGTCAGTTTAATCTTATTGTGATGATATGGTATGGTAAATTGAACTGATGCATATCTGTCTCATATTCTATTTTACACATAACTGACTAACTTACTGTGTCAATTGTTTTGAGTTCCAGTGGTCGAACATGACAGAAAGCTCCATATCCACATTGCGTAATGAATGACATTCTTCCCAAGGTATACTTGCAATCCCAATGAAATTGGTATTCCTCATAAAATTAGAAACAATGTCAGATAGTTTCATAGTGAAAAACGCTGTTACTGAAATCTCTAATCACTACGATTCTTTGCGTCATCTAGCTATTTTTTGTAGTTAAGATAATCAAAAACTGTTTCTTATGTGATGATGACAATAATATTTTACAAATAATATTTTTAACCTCCCCAGTGCCATTCACCATTGCACATTGAGGTAGGTGGTCATCGGGTATACATAACACATTCCAACTGCCTCAGTTGGTGGAGATTCACGGTGTCAACAACCAGTTTATCTTTTCATATTACTTACTTTACTTACTTACTTACGCCTGTTACTCCCAATGGAGCATAGGCCGCTGACCAGCATTCTCCAACCCACTCTATCCTGGGCCTTCTTTTCTAGTTCCATCCAATTCTTGTTCATTTTTCTCATGTCTATCTCCATTTCCCGGCGTAATGTGTTCTTTGGTCTTCCTCTTTTCCTTTGGCCTTGAGGATTCCATGTGAGGGCTTGTCTTGTGACACAGTTGGGTGCTTTCCTCAATGTGTGTCCTATCCACTTCCAGCGCTTCTTCCTGATTTCTTCCTCCACTGGGATCTGGTTTGTTCTCTCCCACAGTACGTTGTTGCTAATAGTGTCCGGCCAATGGATCTGAAGTATTTTGCGTAGACAATTGTTAATAAACACCTGTATTTTCTGGATGATGGCCTTTGTAGTTCTCCAGGTTTCTACCCCATACAGTAGAACTGTCTTGACATTTGTATTGAAAATCCTGACCTTGGTGTTGGTTGACAGTTGCTTTGACTTCCAGATGTTCTTCAGTTTTAAATATGCTGCTCTTGCTTTGCCGATCCGCGCCTTTACATCTGCATCAGATCCACCATGTTCATCAATGATGCTGCCCAAATACGTAAAGGTTTTTACATCTTCCAAATCTTCTCCGTCAATTTTGATTGGATTGGTGCATTCTGTGTTGTATCGGAGAATCCTGCTTTTCCCTTTGTGTATATTGAGACCTATTGCTGCTGAGGCTGCTGCCACACTGTTCGTCTTCTCCTGCATCTGTTGTTGCGTTTGGGATAGAAGGGCCAGATCGTCTGCGAAGTCTAGATCATCCAACTGCATCTTAGATGTCCATTGTATCCCGCGCTTTCCTTCGGACGTTGACGTTTTCATGATCCAGTCGATCACCAGGAGAAAGAGAAAGGGTGAGAGTAAGCAGCCTTGCCTAACACCGGTCTTCACTTTGAACGACTTTGTCAACTGTCCACCATGCACGATTTTGCAGTTTAATCCATCATATGAGTTCTGTATGATATTGACTATCTTCTGAGGCACGCCGTAGTGTCGAAGAAGTTTCCATAGTGTTGTTCTGTCCACGCTATCAAATGCCTTTTCGTAGTCAATGAAGTTGATGTAGAGTGATGAATTCCATTCAATTGATTGTTCCACAATTATCCGTAGAGTTGCGATTTGGTCTGTACACGATCTATCCTTACGGAATCCTGCCTGTTGGTCACGAAGTTGGGCGTCTACGCAGTCCTTCATCCTGTTTAACAATACCCTGTTGAAGACTTTTCCCGGTATTGAGAGAAGAGTGATGCCCCTGTAGTTATCACACTTGCTGAGATCGCCTTTCTTCGGTATTTTGATCAGTAGTCCTTCTTTCCAGTCTGTTGGTACTTGTTCCTCATCCCAAATCTTATTGAAGAGAATGTGGAGTATCCGTGCAGTTGCCGCTACGTCTGCTTTTAGTGCCTCTGCTGGGATGTTGTCCGGTCCTGCTGCTTTGCCACTCTTGATTTGTCTGATAGCCATGCTGATTTCTTCAATTGTTGGTGGGCCAACATTGATTGGGAGGTCCGTGGGTGCTGCTTCGATGTTGGGTGGGTTCAGTGGAGCTGGTCGATTCAACAGTTCTTTGAAGTGTTCTACCCACCTGTTTTGTTGCTCTTCAATGTTGGTGATTACCTTGCCTTCCTTGCTTTTCACTGGTCGTTCTGGTTTGTGGCGATTTCCAGAGAGTTTCTTTGTCGTGTCATATAATTGTCTCATGTTTCCTTCTCTTGCAGCCTTTTCCGCCGTCGTTGCTAAATCTTCCACATATTTACGTTTGTCGGTTCTGATGCTCCTCTTCACTTGTTTGTTTATTTCCGTGTATTCAGCTTGTGCCTTGGCTTTTTCTGCTCTTGTTCGGCTGGTATTGATTGCTGCTTTCTTGTTCCTCCTTTCTTGAATCTTATCCAGTGTACCAACAGTGATCCATTCTTTGTGGTGGTGCTTCTTGTGACCCAGGACCTCATGACATGTTGAAGTGATTGCCTCTTTGATCCCCTTCCAGTTGCTCTCCACAGTAGTTCCTTCTCCATTGAGTAGATCATGAAAGGCCTGGAACTTGTTGCTGAGGACTATCTTGAATTTGTTGAGTTTGTTAGTATCCTGGAGAAAGGCCGTATTGAACTTTTGTGATACTGTCTGCCCCGTTGTCCAGTGCTTCTTGAGTTTCAATTTCATCTTGGCGACCAGTAAGTGATGATCTGATGCTATATCAGCTCCTCTCTTGGTTCTCACGTCCTCTATAGTCCTCCTGAACGTTTTGTTGATGCAAATATGGTCGATTTGGTTTTGTGTAGAGTGATCCGGTGAAGTCCATGTGGTTTTGTGTATGCGTTTATGTGGGAATATGGTGCCACCTATGACCAGTTTATTGAAGGCACATAGGTTTGCAAATCTCTCACCATTTTCGTTTCTTTCTCCCAGTCCGTGTCGTCCCATGATGTCTTCATATCCAGTGTTGTCCGTTCCAACCTTGGCGTTGAAATCTCCCATCAGAATGGTCAGGTCTTTTGTTGGGCACTTCTCGACTATTGACTGCAGCCTATTGTAGAATTGATCTTTAGCGTCTTCATTGTAGTCGTTGGTAGGCGCATAGCATTGGATGATGTTCATTGAAATACCCTCTTTCTTTGTTTTAAACGAGGCTTTGATGATCCTTGGTCCATGAGATTCCCATCCTATAAGTGCATTTTGCGCTTGTTTGGACAGCATCAATGCAACTCCTTGTGTATGTGGTGCATTTTCTTCTTCATGGCCGGAGTATAACAGGAGCTCTCCTGTAGTTAGTCGTTGTTGTCCAACTTGTGTCCAATGTGTTTCACTGATCCCAAGTACCTCTAGGTTGTATCTTCTCATTTCTGCAGCAATCTGGAAGGCTCTTCCGGTGTCCCACATTGTACGAACATTCCATGTACCTAAATAAATGGTCGCTCTGGTTGTCAGAAGGGGCATCGGCCTCGTAACTTCCGAAGGGATTCGGCTTTCATCATGAGGCGTCATAATTCTTCTAAATGAAGATCTTCTGACTCCCAGGGCAGAGTTTAAAAGGTTTGAATAGTTTTTTCTGGTTAGCGTTTTTTTAGCGAGTTAGTTTTCTACGGGATGGGGACGCTAACCCCATGTCCAACCCTCCTCCTTTATCCGGGCTTGGGACCGGCAGTAGCCCCCGGAGGGACTCCAGGCGGAGTTATCTTTTCATATTACTCTATCCGTAACCTAAAGAGTGTTTATTTACTCAGTCATTCTACAATGCGCAAGGTATGCTTCGAAGTGACTTATGTTTAGAAACTCGCTAACACATAACTTCTCTCTCGATGGACCGTGTTTCACAGCTGTGAATCAACACGAAGTGAACTTCTGTGCAGTATTTTCACCCCTTTGTTGACAGATGGGTGTTTTGTCTACGTCACGAGTGATGCATGACGAAAAAGCTGACAGGGTTTCCTGAATTCCTGCAGAGATTTTGTCTGGCACTTCCATGTGCCAACGCTCTCAACTATGACACTACCTATGCATATATATATATTAGGCTCTGCGTTACTTATAACTAACTGACTGATCATATGACTAAGTAAAATAGTAATAATAATTATTATTTATTTTGCTATATGTGATTTAGTTCTTATTTATTGGTTGTATTTTACACCGTTTTTTTCCACAGTATTTTTGAATAGATTTTTTCTATGCATGTATTGTATTTTAAGAATTACTGTTATTTAACGAAAGTGGTTATATGAATGCTTTTCGATTGAATTCATGAATAACGACTATGAGAATGGTTATTCTTGACTCCTCATTAACAATCTCAAATGTTGTCTAGAAAGTTAGATTATTTGTGATTAGCATTCTACTTTGTTGTCAAACTGAACACAAACACAATGTATAGTACAACAGATTCATTCACTCATCTGATTGATTCATAATTTCATATTACTTGTTTTGGCGTAGGCGACCAGAACCTGTGATTAATCAGTCATCCTAGAAAAAGTATCTGGCTAAATGCGTACAAAGTTGTGTTGCGTAGGTTAATTAAATGGATTTATGTTTTTTGAAATATATATCCATGTATACTGATCGTTTGATCGTTAATAAGTCTGATCAAGGAATTAAGTTTAACTAAACATTTATCGTCAATAATATATATATGCTGTATAGCATACGGACAGTGT